TATTTTGTGCACCTTCCTCATGAATCTATAACCTGTGATTTGAAAATTTTCTCTCCTGTTTCTTTATAGTTAACGAGCATATGCATGTTTCCCGGTAAAATATTCTGCATTGCTTTGAACTAGAGCCAAGCACATCCCATGCATAATCCTGTTAATTTATTTCTTCTCCTTATGGAAACATTGCAAATAAACGTGGCCACTTGAAAGGTGCTAATACAATTAAAGTGACAAACTCATTTCAATGGATGTTATTTTACCCTAAAGCAACATATCTAGTAGCCAGTTTGAGGATTTAAAGCTTATTCAGATAAAAGGCCTAATGAGACTCTGATATCAAAGTTATGAATATCAGCCAATGAGATTATCAGGGTAACTTGGCTGCTTTACAAGATTACGCTATGGGCAAACTTCAGCCAGGAGTAAATACCTCAGTGAACTCACAGCAAGAAACTGAACCCGACCCTCCAGATTATAATGTAGTTCTAAATTTAAGCTTAGAACAATCTATAATGTTTCTCTATCTTAAAGTGAAGTGTATCAGGGAAGACTGGAAAAGTGTCTGAGGATAGAGAATTCTTACCCTTTCAAAGATAATGATAGTCGCAGAGTTATCAGGAGAAAATTCTTGAAATGTGAGCCCAAGAAAAACTGTTCAGAATTACGGCTTAATTTAGAAGTTAGCCAACTTCTTTATCGATTCCTACCTTCAAAGTCAAACTGCCTGAACTGTCTCATAAAAACCCACGATTTCACTTATCTGAACTTCATCTAACAAGTGTTTCTCCAGCCCTCTCAGGTGGGATGTGAGCTGTAATATCCAACTTGCCCACCCCCCACCTGGTGTTCACTGAAGATTAGCACAAGTCAAGGTGTTCAAACCAGGCCACAGAGGAGCAGCAGCTACCTTCGCTGGGCTACATTTAACTGTCCCTTAGGCCATAACAGCGTGAAGCAGGCTGTGGCTTCAAATTAGACCCTCCATTCTGGTGTGGTGGGTTTTCTGGCTCGTGGCCTCTCTGCCTCCCTTCTCTTGCTACCTGCCCACCTATCTGGGTTACTCGGAGGAGAGGCCTCCATTCCCACTGTTCCTCCTGGATGAGTATGTGGGACGGGCCAGTGGGCTTCACTGTTAGCTGAGAAAATGGACTCTGCTTCTGCTCCACAAACCTTGCTCTCCCTACTGCCACGTCAGAACATGCAGGTCCCCAGGGGTGATAAGAGGATCTATCTCCTATCTTAAGTCTAAGCCACATCCTCCAAGAGAATTCACCAGAGGGATTTATTGGATATTTGCCTACCCAGTAATAAAGATGACACTTCGGTTTTCACTTTGCTGGCGATCCTTATGTGAACTCTTCCATCAAGAACCCTGGAGCAGAATGGGTTTCATCAAACCCTAACTCGTTTGTGATGCCATGCCTCAGATCTAACACAACAGACACCAAGAGATGAGATTTGAAACCAAAGTACCCTGAGGAGATCGAGGCTCCTGCTGTAACCATGGCAGCTGATATGAGTCACTACATGAACATGGGAAATTGGCCTCAGACAATGTACCACATTACATCAGCTTTTACTGTAGTGTCAGCTGCAAAATCAAGCACAGCTTTGGCTGGAATCCTCAGGTGCCAAACAAAAGCTGAGCTTAGAGTGGATAAAATCCATTCTAAGAATCGGGAATAGCTCTTCTTTGGAGTATGTGATGAGCGAGCAGACATCTGGCCTTGAGCAACACCAGAGATGGGAAAGAAGCTGTCACAAAGGCCTTAGACCTAAAAGCCAATTCTGCTTCTAAAGGACTTTGGAATCCTGGCGGAGAAGGCAAGGTGCTTGCTAGAGCCAAGAAAGAATCACTCTAAGTCAGGCTTTTCTTCAGGCACAGGTGAGAGCCACGATGGCTAGACTAGCAGGCCCCTAATGTGGGAGCTTCTGAAGTATAGTCATCGCTCCTCTTTTGTCTCTCAGATATGGTGAGGGACTGAGCAACCAAGGCCGTTGAGAGCAGAAAGTAAAAGGAGCATTGGGAGAGTGGTATTCTAGAATCCCCAGACAGAATATTGTTATTTTCTGTCTCAGTGAATGACATAGCCATTTGCCCAAGTCAGAAATTGGCTATCATTTGCTTCCCATCACAATCCACATCCAAGTTTACCCTATCAATAGCTCCGTTAACACTTTAGGTCAGGTACTGATCTCTTACCTGGAAATGCAAGAGCCCGAAGAACTGGTCTCTCTGCCTCTGTTGTGTTAAATGGAGCGACCTTTCAAAAAAAAAAAGTAAACCGTGGCACTCCTTGGCTTAAAATTCCTCAATGACTATTGTCTTTGATTTAAAACCTAAAATACCTTCACAGAACCTTTCTAGCTACATCTTGCCTTGAATTCTACATTACTTAGCTGACTCTTGATTGGTCTTCAAATGCCAACTTTAGCATCATTTTCTCTAGTTATCCCTGACAACCCTTCCCTAGTTTATTAGATGCTCTTCCTCTATGCGTCCACCATCGTTTCTTAAATCTGAAGCTCATCACATTGCACAATGATGCTGAGTTACATATCTATCTCCTCCACTAGTGGAAAAGCTCCTTAAGTGTTAAAGACTATGTCCTCCTCTGGATTCATAGTACCTAATGATGGCTCTCCAAGTGCTGGTGACCCAAAGATGAATAAAATACAGTTCCTGCCCTTGAGAAGCAAAGTCTAGTATAGAAGACAGTTACACAAACTAGAATATGAGGCAAATGCTATGACAGATGAAATGATCAAAATTCTACATAACCATCTTCTATCTCTACAGTTCCATCATCTTATACACAGCACTAGTCACGTTGAGTTTTTGCTTGACTGTCTGCCAGAACACTGAGAGCCCGAGACTGGGGTTGGGAGCGGGTAAAGGGTCAGGGAGAGGGGTGAAAAAGACAGTGTTCTATTCATCTTTGAATCTTCAGTGCCTCACATAGAATCTGGCATATAAAGGTGCAATATACATTGAATATATGGAGTAATTAATCATGCCCCTTCATAGAGGGTGGGAGGTGACCAAAGAAAGTGAAATATGACATTATCACTGAACTTGCAAGTCAACTTCCAGAATAAAAGAAACAAATGGCATGAACAAAGGCATCAAGTAGCAGGATAGTCTGGCAAGGGCCCTTGACAAGCACACCCGATTTAGGAAGACGCAGAAAGTACATTCAAAACCTGAGGATATCTGCTACTCCACGAATAAAAGAAACAAATGGCATGAGCAAAGGCATCAAGTAGCAGGACAGTCTGGCAAGGGCCCTGGACAAGCACACCTGATTTTAGGAAGACGCACCAAGTACATTCAAAACCTGAGGATATCTGCTACTCCATTCTATGCTCTTGGTGATCCGTGGAAGTCCTAAGAGACTCACAGTGAAGAGGTAGTTATCCTAGATCGTCTATCCACTTACAAAACACACTGAGGGATTCTGACCTGGTAAGGACAGCTATAAATCCTCAGTAGTAGTCACAAGAACAACACACCTAACTCAGGAATGGTCACAAGAACACCACAAAATTCAGCACTGAGGTTCCTTCATTTTTCATTCACTACAAACCAAGTACTAGCATGCCCCAAATTCAAACAGAATTGAGGATGAGACCAATAGTGATCATCCTCCTAATCTTGGCTCAAATATGCCAGAGTAATTTATTTTGGAATCATAATCTAATTTTTTTAGCAGGTTTCAATAAAAGCAGCTATAGAAAACATGTTTTAGAAGGAAAAAAGGGCCCAATTATTTCATGTAATGGAATTAAACGTACAGTTAACAAAGATTCTGTGGAATATTTTATATGACATGACCCATGCTTTCCAGCCAAGAGAATCACAGTGACCCTCAGGCTTTGTTCTAAAGCAAACCCTTAAATGTGCCTGAAGGCAAAGAATGAAGTCAAAATGAAAATACTTTATTTTGGTTTGTGTTTTTAATTTATGAAAACTTGTTCAAAGGAGTTCACACACCACAGCCTCAGCAAGCTGAATTTCCATGCACCTCTTATCACTGCTTCACATTTGACCTTTCTCTAAACTATGAGCCAGAACCAGGCCACCATAAACTCCCAGAGGAAAGCTCTGCGTCATCATGTGCAGGACACAGAGCTGCACTTCCCCACTCCACTCTGTCCACTCGGTGGAAGAGCTCAGCTTGGGAGTGGGCTCCATGCCCTCACTGTCTGTGGATGTCACATTGTTCTGCCTCATACAAAGAAAAGAGGATAAATCCTGCCAATGGTTTTATTTGAATAAATTGTTTAAAATCTAACGTAATTTCAAAAGCAGAGAAGAGTAAAATAAGCAGAGAATCTGTTCTATGTCTGAAACTTTAAAAATAAGCAATATTTAGAATATTTCTTGCATTAAGTGGAGATGGGTTGATTTTGCAGCCCATTATATTTATATCGAGAAAATGGGGGAAAAGAGAAAAAATATGAATCCAGAACTAAGAAATGGCCTAAATATGAGGAGAAATGTCAAGAGATAGAAATGACATGGAGGGAAAAATCCTAGTCCAAGAGAGCAGTACAAGGTCACAATGAATCTTTGGGGGCATGACATTATTTTAGAGTTTCTGGGTTTGCACAAAGTCTGCCATGAAGGGATGACCAGGTTATAACTCTTTCCTTATCAAAACTCAAATATTTCTATATCAGAAATGTTCCATAACATGTCAAGTCCAATTACATATGAACCAGGAAGCAAACAGATATTACAAAAATTCCTTGACAGGAATATTTGCAGAAAAATATTTCAGCCCAATTGACATTTACTCTTCATAGGGCTAGAATAAAGAAAAAGCTTATAACTTCTTCACATTCTTCTTAACCTAAAAACATATCTATTATTAAAAGGGTTACTATATCAAATTCACACCATGCTATTTGTATTCTTTATTAGTAACAACATTTACAAACAGGACACTGACATCAAACTTTGTAATAATGTTTTTAAATTTAAATTTATTATGGCTTTAAGGAACTATGGAATTAGGCATCCAAGCTCTTTTTAAATGATGACATTTTTTAAATTATCCATTTCAAAGTACTGTTCAATGTTGTATACACTTTCATTTTCAATATAAAAACATGAGAACAATTTGTGATTTTATGTATTCTCAAAGAGTGAAAAAGAAATGGCAAATCAAACTCCCAACCCCAATATCTGGGTAATTGAATCAAATATTTTAAAGTTGATTTGTTGTGTGTCTGTCACTGTGTCTGTGTGTGCATACCTTTATTATAATTAACTACTATGTGAGCATCTAAAACTGATCTGAGCTCTTATTGTTGCCCGAACCCTTCAAATTTCACAATTTTATCATTTCTTCTCTATTACCAAACCTTCTGATTTAAACATTACCAGAAGTGCTGAACCAGTATGACTGTTTCTTTCTTCAGTAATATCTACTTCGGATTAGCTAGATCTAAAGCTAAGAGTGGAATCTGGCTTCCTCCCAAAGAAGCTACGATGAACTCCTATGAACACTATTTCGGATAGATGCACCCTGAGGAGTTCATTCTGTAAAACAGAAATATCTGAGGTTATCCCCAAACCCACTCCACTAGGGCTGACTTTCGAAAGGCCTCTTGAAGATATAATTACAGTTTTATGCTTCACAGCAGTACATTTTGAATTTAGATAGGTCTCAATCCAAAGAAAATTAAAAAAGGATTTTCCAGGAAGCCTTTAATATTAAACCCAACTTAAAATCTAAGGTGTGGTTTTAGTCTTTGACAAAAAAAAAGATGTCTCCCAAACATGTATTTTTTATTCCTGATTCTGTGAAAAGGCTTCTAAAGACCAACTTTCGCTTCCATCCAACCGAGGCCCTCACCACTTGGTGCTCGGGGCCGTGTAATTATTTTGATTTTAGTGTTAAAGAACGAGTGGGGCGTGTTTTCTCTGGATGCGTTTTATGTTCCCCCAGAACGTACAGCGCTTCCTTCAACCCTCACAAGAGTCCCGAGATGGGCGGCACAGGCAAACCCTCTCCATGCTGCTGATGAGCTTCTTAGCCGACCACTTGCCAAGTTGGCTGGTTCTAAGTAAAGCTGTTGATACCAGAACCAAATGCTCAAGTCCAGAACTTCCATATTTTTTATGCAAAAGCATCAAAAAGGTGTGTGGGTCCTCAATGATTAACGAACCTGTTGATTTTGAACATATGAATGGAATAATCCACACATGAGTTTTTACCGCTGGAGGTCGGCCACATTAATCTCTACCGAAATTGAGAGATCACTTGCAAACGATGACCATAAATTGGCCCTCCACTTGTTTTAGACGACTAAGCACCTAACTGGCCCTCACTGGGCAACTATTTTTCTGGTGGGTGAGAGAAAGGAACTTAAAAACCCACAGTTGCCATGAGAGTGACGTGAGAGAAAGCTGGTAGATTCCTATAAGTCTGGGGGAAAAAAAAAGAATTCCCAAGGAAATTACCAGGAGATGTAGGTAATATTTGTATTACTGTTTAGATTTTAAACTAAGAAATGAAAAGGTCATACCATTTATTATTCCTATATGGCATATAAATGTAAATGTACTATACTATTTAAACTAGAATCGTGTAATTAAAGAAGTTTACACTTAAAACATACTTCATTTCTCTTTAGGATGACTGCTTTAAATCTAGCAAAAGAGATTCGTCATCATCTACTTTCACGTGGGGTTTAAAAGTAACTTTTAAAGGCTCAGGGGTTGGGATCTCCCCTCCTTCTTGGGGAGGATACGCTACCCTGGCCTCCTTGGGGTCTGTCTCACTGAGCTCCTCAGTGTAGAGCTCACCGACAGGGCCCAGAGACTCACTCCTGGAAATGATGTCCACACCCATCTCCCTGACCTCTTCAGGACCTTCAGCCACAGTTCCGTCCTTAGCTTTCCGAAGGCCAGGCATCTTAAAAGCTTCCCTCGAGGGAGCGGCATTAGAGATAGATTTCTTAAATCTCTCCCCTGACTGTTTGAGCCTCTCCCCTGACTGTTTGAGCCTCTCCCCAGACTGTTTGAGCCTCTCTCCCCCCGTCTGCCTCAACCTCTCTCCTGACTGCCTCAACCTCTCTCCTGACTGCCTCAACCTCTCTCCTGACTGCCTTAGCCTCTCTCTCCTCTCCGGGGTCACTATTCTAGTTCTAATTCTGTTGACTTTCTTGTCAAAATTCTGCCGAGTCTTCTGCATGTTTTCTTTGGAAAATGCCTTTTTGATATTATCAATGCGCTCCTTGCCTGACTTTCTAAGCCTGGAAGATTTGCTTTCTTCAACGTAATATTCTTCATCCGAAGACAGATCTATTGGGGGATCAAAGATCTCCTCCTCTTCCTCCTCTTGATTCTCAGTTAAGTTTTTGTCTTTAACAATAGACAGGGATGTCGGACACCGAATCTCCTCCTGAAGGAGAAAAAAAGAAAGCATGGTAGAGATCAGTTCTTTTACTTTCTGCAACACCTTTTAAATCTCCTCTGCAGGCTGTGTATCCTCTGTCGTCTCCTTAAAAGTTGGTATTTCATTGTGTTTCTCTCTCCTTGGCCCTTTTTTCTTCTTCATCTCCCAAGCTCACCTCCCGAGCAACCTTATCCGCTCCTCTGCCTTCAGATCCAACTGTTAGCAAACTTACAAATATTTTCTCTTCACCTCTGCCCTTCTCCTAAGATAAAGACACATTTTTAAATAATGGACAGACTTCTCCATGTAGATGTAACATAGGCATTTCAAACTTACCATGTCCAAACCTCAAGGCCCATCATCATTCTCTCCACAGCGACTTCTTTACTTCTTCAATACCCATCCAGGTGCCACTTAGCTAGAAACCTCAGAATCATCATCCCAGATATTTCGTCTCCTCCTCAGGCCATATCCAACTGCTCACTGAGTACTGTCTATAATACCGCTTAATATTCCTGTTCCCTCCTTCTTTCTCTTGGCCTCTACCAATGTCTTAATTCAGGCCCTTGTCACCTGGGCCCTGAAATTGTGCAGTCTCTCTACCTTCAAAACATCACTTAAGCATTTCCTGAGGAACACTTCTAAAGCACAGTTTTGATCACATCCTTTCTCTACTTTAAAACTTTGGGGGAGCTCATCAATATTCAAAAGGATAGCGTTTGAATTCTTTAGTATGATTAGAAGGCTCTTCAGTTTGAGCTAAACCACTTTCCCGCACCTCCAGTCCAGCAACACATGGCTGCTCTCAAGTCCTCAGACATACAACAAAAACACTATATACACGGTTCTTGCTACTGTAAATGCCCCTTCGTCTCTTTTCAGCTTTGCAAAAAATATATATATATATATCTTTCTTCAAGAATGGATTCAATGTCCCCAACTTCCCCCAAGAGGACAATTCTGTCTCCAATTTACACCAAAATGTCATGTGCATACCTCTATTTATAGCATTTATCACAGTTTGAATTGAACTGGAACTCTGCTTATTTATAAATGTCTCCCTGAGGCTTTCACTCAATGGTAAGTTCCATAAAAGCAGAGATGTGTCTTATTTATGTTTTACACCCAGAATGACTGTTGGATCAAGTAAAGAGGCTTAAGCCTTCATCCAGCAAATAGTTACTAAGCACCTACCATGGCACCAGTCAATGTTCTAGGAACTGAGACCCTCCTATGGAAAAAAAAAAAAAAAAAAACAGAGGAAAAAGAGCTTATAGTCTTGGAGAGAGAAACATTAACGAGTTAAATATATAGTATGTTGGATGATGCTAAGTGCTAAGGTGAAAAAAAAAAGCAGGGGAGAGGGATATACAGTGACTGGGAAGGATGCTCAGAAAGGCCTCACTAAAAAGGTGACATCCCAGCCTAGACCTGAAGGTAATGCATATATCTGGGAAGGAAGGAGAAACAGCAAGGAAGGCAGTGTGGCTGGAGCAGTGATCAAGGGGCAAGAAGAGGAGGAGAGAGGACAAGAGAGGTGGCAGGAGGGCCAGACCATGTAAAGGCTCTGTAACCGATATCAAAGACTATGGCTCTTATTTTGAGTGGGAGAGGAAGCCTTTAAAAGAGTTTTGAGGAGAGTAGTGACATGACTTGACCTCTGTTGTAAAAGGCTCACTCTGTTGAAAATAGGCAAGATAAGAAGCAAGGAGAACAGCTGGAGACCACTGGGATTAATCAGATGAGAGATGGATCAGGGTGTTGGCAGAAGTGGTGGTGAGAAGTGGTCTGATTCTCCATCCACTCTGAAGTTAGGAGTCAGCAGGATTTGCTGTTAGATTTGGATGTGGAGTGTTAGAGGGTGTCAGGGATAATTCTCAAGCACGTGGCCTAAGCAAGTGAAGGGCAGATTTGCCATTAAATGACAAAGAAAGCAAGAGGAAGAGACTGGAGGGGGAGCATGTGATGTGAACATGATGATTGTGAGATGCCCAATGACATCCAAGCAGAGATGTCAAGTAGGCAGCTGAGTATGTAAGTCTGGAATTCAGAAGGGAGGTCTGTACCACAGAGAAAAATTTAGGAGTCATTAGCATAAAGATGAAATTAAAAATCATGAGACTAGATGAAAGACGTCTCCAAAATATTGAGTGAATAGGTCTATACGTTGCTATTCAAAACTCTTGTGTATTTTCAAGCAATGCCTCCGATAAGAGCCTAATATCCAAAATATACAAAGAACTTATATAACTCAATAACAACAAAAAACCAAATGATCCAATCAAAAAATGGACAGAGGACCTGAACAAAATTCTTGAGACTAAGGTGTGTTTCAGAATTCAGAATATTTCAGATTTGGAGAAAATGTCATATATAACATTCTCAGTGAGATCTTGGGAACAAACATTTTTGTGGCAGGAAATATGAATATTAACTCTAAGGGGGAATTAAAGACTGTAAATGGCTTTATGCTAATTCGGGGCAGATTTTGCCACCAAATGAGTTCAGGTCAAGCTAGGTCTTGCTGCCAAATAAGTTACAAATTATTTTTTACTTTTAGAAATGTTTGGATTTTGGTGTTATAAATATATTTTGGACTGGTAAATAAGAAGAAAGATGAGAAAGAACCAAAAGGAGAAATATCAGCCAGTGAGGTTGGAGGAAATCCGAGAGAGAAGGACCTCCCAGAAGCCAAAAGCAAACAAGTTTCAAGAAGAGAGAAGGGACCAACTGTCAAGTGTGTCAAAAGGATAAGGATAAGAACTGAACTTGGGAACATGGCAGACACTTGTCACTTTGAGAACCAGCACAGAAACATAGCTGCTAAAGAAACCCAAATCACTATTTAGTGATTATTTCTAAAACTAAACGTTTAAAGATCATGAGACTTTTAACTAAGCCCATGAGTTGAAATTTCTAAAAGAAACTGTGCTCTTAAGATCCAGATTAAATTTGTTCAAAAAACAAAAAATGAGTAACTATGTAAGAAATACACTTACATGTATTTTGAAACCTATCAGCCTGATAGTCAAGAAGGTACCCCTGGAACCTTATTTCTTTGGATACTTATTTAAAATTAAATTATTTGGCTATAGGATTGGAAAGTTTAGGACCTTAAAAAAAAAAAAAAAAAAGGAAGGTGGGTGTCTCATAGCTCTCTGATGAATCAGAAACAGCAAAATTATTCCTCTCCTTTCCTGACACCTGCTGCAGGGCATAGCTTTAACAATGCTAAGTGGGCTGGTATGGCCCAAGAAGGTATAATTAGAAAAAGAAAGAGCCATAGAATAATTACTGCTTGGTAGTGGGGAAACCCCTCAAGATCCTGCTGTGAGATCAGATATAGGTTAACTCAGGAATCACATACACTGTTTCAATTGCACAACAAATTATATAAAAGCAGTCTTTAAAACAAAACAAAAGAGGCAGAGGCAGAGAAAGTACTTGTTATGTGGATGTTTTTGTTGCAACCCTTGTGAGTCAGAGATGCCATGAGTCAATGATGAATATACTGTAATAATAATTGAAGAGTACAAGGTTGAATCACAGTTGATTTCCGAATATAATTATTACATGTAAAATGATGATTTTTCATAACAAAATGAGTACTTTCGGTCAGAGTAAAGTGGCTGTGATTGAACATCATAGTAATATAGTTAGGGGAACTTGGAATATATAGATGTTTGGAACTTATTATTAGGGAATGGCCAAATATCTCATTTGGCAACCACAGTCATGTGGTTAGTAAGCTAAATCATTAGAAGATATGGCGAGACTCTGGGCTTACATGATGAGAAGGTCATCAAGGTGAAAGTGTTCAAAGAGAAATGATAACTGTATGAGAAATAATAAATAGTTTTTTTAATGATGTCCAGGAGTAAGTGAGAGCTCAGCTATACACAACAGTGGGAGATAAAATGCCAAGAAAGATTGCCACCAAAAGATATATCCAGGGAAATCTTTTTGAGGAAAGACCCAAATGTAAATGAACATACACTATAGCTGAATTGCTCAGCTTCAAGTTAATTTTAGTTAAAAGGGGCATTCTCAATATAACTACTTATACATATTAACTATGAGAATGAATTATAAGAATTAACTTTAACTCTAAGAATAACCATGTGAATACTGTATGGTGTTCTAACATCTCGTGAATCATCAAATCCGAGTTCTATATCCATTGTAATTTCCTTTATTTTTTCTCTACAAGCTCTCCCAGTTATCACAGACAGTAAGTGCTTACTGACGAACTGGGCTTTCTCTGAGCAACTTAATGTTACAGAATGCTCAAAGCATTCGATCTTACAAGAAAAGAGATCTGACCTAAACTAGAGCCTTTCAGTTGCTTTTTTATACTATCTTCTACTGGATCAAGTAATTATGGGAGTTCAAAGAAAGGAGAGAAATAGCAAGTTTCAGAGAATTAATAGGTGAATATAGAACTTTACAAACAAGAATTATGTCAATAGACAAACAAGAGTTAATTAGAACTTTTCAGAAACTTCTTTGCTCTAGCTTCTCTAAATCTTGATGGGAACCTAGTCCGCTCCTGGCACAAAGATTCTCAGGAAAAATGCTGGATACCAAGAATGTTTGCTAGTATGTCCCATGCAAGTGCAGGGTGACATATACCCATTACTGTTAAGGCCCCTGGATACTGCATTCTCCAATACCAAATCTAGATCCCCAGGACACACACTAACACTGAGACTGGCCTCTAGAGTAAGGTGACTGATTTCTTTCAAATTTTTAAGTCTGAAGTAGGGCTTCCAGGGACCTGGAAGGAAAGGGAAATGGTAAAGGACTTCAAATAGCATAGTCCAACCCATCTACTTTTGAAATAAGCAATACTTCTCTCTCTTCCCTATTCTTCCTCCTAAATAACCCATAGCCTCTTTTAAAAAAAAAAGTCCAAAATACCACTCACTATCAGTCAACAGAGGGCTATGGAGAATTGACTAATGTGTAAAGAATTGCTGTGGGGAGTTATCGCCCACATCCCTAGTGTCTTACAAATATCTGCCTACATAATCCAGCTGTGTTCCTATTGCATTTCGTATTTATTCTTCTAGGTTTATTTCCTATGCATATGGATAGCAATCCATTTTAAAAATACAGTGTGATAACACTGTATATGTACACCAGCAAACATCCCTGAATACATTACCGATTTTATATTTAGAACAAATTCTTTGACATGAAATTTTGAGGCCAAAAGGTTTGTGAAGTTTTAAGGTTTTTAATACACACTCACAAAACCGCCCTCCAGAAATGTTGTACCAATTACTACTCCTTATCAGCAGAACACTGAAGTGCTATGTTTTCTCACCCTTAACCTTCAAGTGTATATTTTAGTAATTGCAAATATTTAAAGAAGTGAAAGTGAAATTCTGCTCATTTATTTTGTCTTTTGTGAGCTGTCTGATCATGACTTTCTCATTTTTCTACCATGACAGGAGAGTTTAACTTTTTCCTTTTGATTTGTAAGTGTTTTAAAATATATTATAGATATTATGCATTTCCCATGAATATGCTGCTATTTCAAAAAATATGAGTGTCAATGGTACAGTAATATAGCAACTTAGCTCAATATACAATGCCACACAAAAACCGTTAAATCAGCTAAGTAAAATGACTTTGTAATCAAAATAAGGAATCACTTATGTGACTCTGTCTGTATAACTATAATAAGAAAAATAACAATTGCCTGATTCACTATGAAATAGTTTATTATTGTGACTCATATCTAAAAATTCCAATACACAGATTATATTGTGAAAAGCTTATATATTACTGTTTAGGGCTTTCCTGGCTCTCCATAATAATAATAAAAAACACAAACTGTGAAGCTACTAGTCCTCAGTTTCCTTCTTTATACAGTTCAAAGGTGTTTTAAACTAGAAGCTTCTCAGGTCTCTTCTAGTTCTAACATTCCAAAGTCTCTGAGAGGGCATCACACTAATATGGCTGATATGCTGAAAAAACCTTACCAATATTAAGTTTCGAAAGCAAGAAATAGCCTCAGCCATGACCCACAGAGTTCATATTACACAAAATGGTTCAGAGGTTCAAAATGCTGATGATAGTATGTTAACATAGAAATGGTTTTACACTGAGGTCTCTGCTGATACAGAATTCCACTACACGAATACATACATATACATATACATAGTTTAAGATGCAACGTTGGAAACCTCGGATAGGACTCGTTGTCAATTAAAAGAGCTGAAGGATTGCAGGAGCAATTAGGGTAAACGCAAATGCAGGCTTACCTGGAAGATCACCACACGAAATTTGTTCTTCTTCATTATCTCCTCTTGCTTCGTTTCAACTTTTTGAACGTGAACTTGCTGCTTCTCCACCCGGGCCTTCACGTCTTTGATGTGAGCGCTGACTTTTCGGGTTTTTTCAAACAACTTGTTAATGACATAGCTTGTATTGCTGTGTGACTGTGAAAACTTCAACAGGTCGATCTGGACAGATTTGATGGCATTTTCCATTCCCCTGTGTCTCTCCTCTATTCTCTTCTGGCTCGCCTGCACGCTGTCCACAATGGCGGCAACTTTGTCCAGCACAGTCACAATGGTAAGGGCAGCGTCTTGGTCTTCATCATCTGTTACACTTGACAGGCGATTCTGGTGGATCTTATCAGCATTTGAAGCAGACCCGTTATGTTCCATTTTATTTATTTCTCAGTGAAAGGTGGCCTACCACGATCAATGCTGGCACTTGGAGCAAAAAGTTAGCTTAAACAGGTGACAGGGTTGTTTAAAGAGCTGGAAGCCCCACCCCTGGAGACTGGTCAAGTATTTATAACTACAAATACCCATACGTGACTGTTCTGCAACATGAACCCTTGCAAAGCACTGGGGACTGTTCCAAACATGCTTACTGACTGACTAAGGGACTCAAATAAGACTGCGTGTATGGAAGAGGAAAGCTTTTTTCAAAAAAGTTCACTAAAGCCACCATGTTACTAACATTAAGCATAGAAGCCAAATGACCAAAACTGCAAACTCCAAATGTTGGGTGAAGTTTCTGTCTTTAGATAATTTCCAGCAGTATTTGTAAAAGCAAAGGGGATTTTTGAACCAAAATCTGCTTTTTCTATTAATTTCATATATTAAATGCACTGACATATCAATATCAAAGAATGTAGTAAATAAACACACCAAAAGAGACCATGTAGTGAAAACATTATATTATAACATGCTTTTCCAAATCAAATATTAAAATTAATATTTAATTTTGAACATATTAAATTCTACATGCATACTTCTGAATATCTAAACTACATGTTAAACAGCTGAATACACTCTACTCACACTGCAGATCTTTAAACATCACTATCTATTAGTATAGCTATTACTACAGGACGAATTTAGATAGAGGTCTTAGGTAATTTTTAAGCTCACTTCAAGAGCACCAATCATTAACAATCATTTTTGCATTTTATTCACAAACACTGATACAATTTATTTATGTTAAAGCAAGTATTTTCTTTAAAAATTACTGTGTATTAAAGTGGTTTAACTGAAAGAATAGGCTTTATTCCCATCTGTTTGTTATACTATTTCCACAATATCTAAATCTACTTTTCAGTGATCTCTGTTCCATCATTACTACCAGATACTTTTTTGAATTATCAGAATTACTTTTCAAAGAGAGGAATAATCAAATTCCAGTCCATACATCTTATAAATATTTTACATCTAACACACACAGCTTTACAGTTCATGCGATAGGCAGTGTCTAAAAAAATCAGTTACTAAATCTTGAAAACATTTAAATGTTTATTTAAACACAGTGCCTTCTAAATTTTGTTTTGTAAGAAAAGTAATCTGTAAACATCTTTACCTTTAGTTCATGCTTGGTCATTTGCTGTGGTCATTGTGGAAGAAGTGGGTATGACTTTGTAACCATTTGTGAAGTGGTCCATCTTTGCAAAAATATTACATTCCATGGGTAAAGAACAAGTCTTAGAATTACCATGTGGTACAAATTTGTGAAATCAATTTTTGTATTTAAAAACAGAAAACAAACTCTACTAAACAGTCCAAAACTGTCGTAGCTGAATATTCTAAATACGAGCCAACAGTACTACACTAAAAAATGTCCAAAAATAAGGCCTCTGAAATAAATATTTCCATTCTTTAAAAAAAGACATAATAAATGTACATCACATGGTCAGTGTAAATATAAAAGTCATCATTTTAAACCATTCTGGATGACGTATCTGAAGTAAAATGACCTAGGTTTTGCTTCTGTCGTCGTCCTCTATTATTTTTAGGGCATTTTCTGTTGAGTTAAAAAAGAAGATAAGAAAATGTCATTTTGTTTAGGATATTTCAAATGTTTCCAAAGTAGTGTACATTTCACACATAAAGCCATATAGCATATCATCACATGAAAAGGAAACAGGATGCTATTTGATGCAAGACAAGACGAGGCCCGACACATCAGACGGCCATCCTCCGGACAAAGCTGGGAGATGAGAGGGTTAGATACATGATGCAGGTATGGACACAAGCGAAATTCATTCCTGGGGTCTCTACTACTGACTTGCATCCCAGGAGGAATCCTCATCCTTCCTCTGGCCCAGCAAACTCCCTGCCACAGTGACTGATAACATATAAACCCGTGACAGTAGAAAAGATCATGGCCTACATACTTTCCTCCCGAGATGACAAGAACAGTTTAGATGAAAGGAGAAATCAGGAAGAAATATGCTTATTTAACTTCCGATGTGAATACATAGGAAATACCTAAAGATTGTAGACAATGACTCAAAAGAAGTCCTTCTATACCCTGCTTGGGCAAACCACAAAACCCAATAAAGAACAGCCGTGCTGGGGATAAGGGGTATTCCTGGACTCTGTTCTCACTTTACCATACATGCTTCTCTACCGTGGTATAAATCTCATTGTGTTATGGCTACACTTGTGCCTGCCCACTAGAATGGAAACATATGAGCTCTTACTATGCACAAAGCGCTGTGCTATACACACTATGTGGAATAAAGAGACTGAGATGACGCCTGACAATTCTGAGCTTGAGCTCTGCTAAAAACTAGCTGTGCTACCTCCTTTTCCTACATAGAAAATATTAAGAGTTGGACCAACCTCGCCAGCAAGGAATTTAAAAACTAATGAAATAAAATCTTGAGATGGTGAGTACTCCTAAAGTTCCATGGTTTTATTCAAAAAACACTGCTTTGCCTTGATTTAAAAGCGTCGATGGTAATAGCTCCGTTTTATATACACTGTTTCTCACAAATTTTACCTAATTCTCATAAAAATACTCTGAGGGAAAAGTGCTGGAATCATGTCTATTTCATAAATGGAGAAACTGGTCGAGAGGTCAAGCGACCTCTTTAACTGTCACTAATTCGCCATGACCTTGGAAAAGTCCCAACTTCCTGGGGCCATGGTTTTTTCATCCATAAATTAAGGGCTAGGATGGTATTCAAGGTCCCTGCCAATCTGTTATTCTGAGTCTAAAAACATGAAAGGAGATTCCAAACCTAAAAGATGAAAAGTTTACTCATGCGGCCTTGGTAAGTAGGTCAGGGGAACATCCTTTTAAAGGAAGATTCCTCACATGTAACAGCTACCATGGGATAAGTGAACAGCTGTTCCGTAATGGACTGCGTGGGAGAGGCACTCCTTAAAAATTCATAATTATCATATTCTAAATTCAAGACAGCAAGATAGTCTAGGGGAGAAAATACCACAATAAAAAGGCAGGCCTCAACGAAAGATCTATGATAAACTCGATGAAATCACCCTTCAGTCACGGAGACGGTGGGCAGTGAAAATACCATAACACAGTTAATAATACCCTGTGATGTCTAAGTGTCTGTGAAGACAGCAAATGGGTTTGGGGTACAAACTGCAGAGTACTAACTTGAAGACTTCCCATCAGGTCATTTTAATTTAATACTTGAAGATTATAGCACACTGAGAACAGAAGCTCAGAGCTGGATAAAAGGCTGGGTTGGGATTTGTAAAAGGGCTTAACCATCTCTACGGTCTTGGGTAAGGTACCTCCCATCTCAGGGTTTGTCTCCTCACTCCTCTAGAATGAAGCTGAACTCATAAGTTGCATCTCACTGACTCTAACATCCTTGGACCTTCTTAAAGACGGCACTACTATGTGGCCTCAAAATCTTCCCTGACCTTTACCTTATTTCTTTCACCTTCCAAATCATTTATTACCCAACTCCTGCTTTACGCTAAGTATGTCCTAAATGGTCTCCCCGACCTCACATTTCCTTTCCTCCAGTGATTTTTGCAAATGACCCTCAGATTAATGCTGAAAAAAATGTTTCGTATGAAATTCCTCCCCTGTTCAAAACCCTGAACTGCTACAAAACCAAGTGTGAACCTTGCTCTCATGCAGTGGTCAGACTTGGCAAATCTATTTCCCAAGATGACACAACATGGACCTTCCACTAGATGGTTCAGTGAAAAGAAAAAATGGTTTGGGAATCAGGCAGCACTGCATTCAAGTCCAGGCATTCCCACTTACGGGTTTGGATGAGCACACGCAAACGACCATACACAAATTCCTTAACCTCTGAGCCTATATTAAACAGCCATGGACAGGCCTGCTGTTGCATGTTTTTTCTATCTCCTCTTTCTGCTGTCATTACTTTTTATATCATTATGTCCCTACTTTTAATCAACTGCCCAATTTTATACTCAATAGTCTTGCCTAAGGGCACATCTTCTGTTCTATAAAGTCCACTGACTTTAGTGCCTAAATTTTATAACAAATATCTGTTACTCAGAGAACTTTTTTTTTTTATCATTTTTAGATTTATCATTTCAGCTCCAGATGGCTGAGACTACTGGAGGTCTGGCCTCTATCCAGCCTTGGAGAGAAGAGCCATAAATCCATTATGGCCTGCCAATATCTTCGCTTGATGTACTTCAATCCCCTGCCCAGAATAATGCAGAAGAGTATACAGATGTTGTTTATGGGATTTCTAAACCATACCTCAAAGGAGGTAAGGAAGAGGTAAGCAAGAAGAGACATGAGGCTGGAAAGAATAAAGACAATATGAACTCAATTTGCTTTGACTTTTCTCAGGTCCAGTTCAGTTCTGACTTAGATATTTCTACTCAGTATGGAAAATACCTGTTTTCTGCCAACTGCACTCTGGTGTTTTAGTTATGAGAAACTCCAATGGTTTTAGTTAAGACAGAGAATTTTAAAGCTTAATAGTTATGACTGTATTCCAGAAAATGAAATAACATTAAGACAATGATATAATAAGAAAAGTAGTTTTCTTTAACCTCTGGTTTCTTCCTTTCTTATTGTATTTACTATGAATAAAGTATATTCTTAGGGCATAAAACATCTTGCAGGGCTTAAAAACTTTCAACGTGGCTCTTCGGTGCATGTGTAGACCATTCTAAAAATTCTGCTACTAGCATTATTGTCCCTGAATGCAGTTCTCAGAACTGCCACACAGTTCTAAGATCCCTAAATTCTTTTATGCCACTGAATATTCTCATGCTCTCTCTACCTGCAGCCTAGATAGACCTGTAACCCTAGGAATGAGTTCTTGTCCATCTTCTAAAGAAGCAAGATATGGAGAGGTCAGATCCACATGGAATGTCAATGAACTGATACTAGGATTTTTAAATAGATTGGTGGACTTAAAGCCCCTACCATTTTGAGTGTGCTTCAAGGTTCTTCTTTAATTTAAGAGCTACCCACACCTCTGATTTAAAGATATTATTTCTTAGGTCATCACCTACCTTGTTATGCACATGACAATTGCTACTATAATGGCAATCTGTACAGCTCCAATAATTGCTGCAATAAGAACATGAGTGAGCTTTTGCCTACTTGGCACTACATAGAGAATACTAAAGTCTGTCTTTTCACAGTGCTGTCCAGTGTAACCAGATTCACATCTGAAAAGGGGAAAAAAGAAAGATTCCTGTGAGAATTACAACTTTCAATAATTCTAGATTTTAAAATTAAAAGATACAAAAGAATAATAATTTTAAACAGGAATAAAAAATCAGGCACTCTCTCACCATCTGAAAAAAATTGCCATTTCTGTTATTGCCTTTCATTCTTTTTGATATGTCTATTTTACACAGTGCTTCTTTCCTCTATCATTA